GAAGCGTCCCGTGGCTGTTTTTAGCATGATAACAAGTAAAGCATTCGAGGAAACGTTCGTTTATTTGAATGTCCGTCGAGCCACTGGAGCGCTAATGAGAGAGAAGCGCTCCAGTTAGCGTAAGGTTTTTAGCCTTCGAGAGCTAACTATGGCCATCGAGGACTACGAAGCGTCCCGTGGGTGTTTTTAGCATGATAACAAGTGAAGCATTTGAGGAAACGTTCGTTTATTTGAAATTCCCATCACTCATAAGCAATTTACTCTGAGCAGCTAATCGGATGCTACGGATCTAGCTTCAGTATCTACACACATAGACAGTGAGGTCCCTCTTGGCCAATCGGAGGCCAGGATGATGCTCGGTAAGCCAATGGCAGAGTAGCTATGAGTATGTTGAGTCCAGGAAACTCACAGCTGTGACCGAAATAAACATCGTTCACTATGTAAACCAGTGTGGTGGTGGTTGCTGTTGCCTTTTTTCGAACGAAGCAGTAGAGGTCGCTGTTGGAGAAGACTTCGTTGTAGTGAATGTCTTCGCGAGGCTGGAGCAGAGAAAATGATTTCGTATAACGCAACGGGGGTTTTCGTCGTATGGGGGGGCAGGAGAATGGGAATTGTGTTAATGCATGAAGATTTTTTCACATAAGGGTGTATTTTCGCCCAGGTTTCATTCTAGAAGAGTTTCACTGTATTAAATTGAATAACCAACAAAGACAAGATAGTTAATGTTCAAAGAGATAAACTTGTCTGGTTTCGGCAAGTAATCATCAACTTAGAATGTTACGGCTGCAACAGGTTTAAAAAAGAGCTGGTGGCAAAACAGATTGAGAAGATGAGGAATGCGCATCAAACACCTGTTTGGAACATTCCACAGGTGAACAGGCTAACTGGGAACAGGTTTATGCCATGTTTATGTGTCAAAGAAGCATCCCAAAATTGCTTAAATAGGACGTTTTTCACGTTTTTCACATCTTTGTAAACAATTGTGTCAGGAAATAGTCAAACAGTTTCAGGACAATGTTCCTCAATGTTCATACACAAGGAATTTCGGTATACCATCATCGATGGTCCATAATATCAAAAGATTCAGAGAATCTGGAGAAATCACTGCAGGTAAGCGGCATGGACAAAAGCCAGCATCTGTGATTGTATAGCACTGTGTTCATGCCAATGGCATGAAAAACGTACATATCTGTGAGGGTACCATTCATAATGATCGGTACATGCAGACTTTGGAGAAACATATTGTCATGGTTCTGTTTGTGAACAACAGGACGCACTGTAGGGCTCCGCCTGCAGCTGCACACCTGTTGGTCATTGTGTCCTTAGTTTGTTTGTTTGTGACTGTCATGTTTGTTTCGGTCATGTTTCTGTTGTTGTTAGTTGTCAGCTTCAGCCATGGTTTTTGTTTGCTACTTTGGATTTGTTTTGTTTTCCGGACTTTGAGTGTTCTGGATTTTGTTTCCTTATATTTTAATACAACTTGTCAACTTCACCCTGCTCCTCCCTCTTGCCTGCTTTTTGGGGTTGTCCACCACCACGATCGTGAAAGAATGACCCGATCAACTACTGGACCCCGAAGGTACAAAGGACTGGTCCCAGTTCCACCCTGTGCCTGGCAGAGCACATCTGCGGCCGACACCCTTTTCCTCTTCAGGCAGCTCAGATCACGTGGCTGTCCCATGTTCATCGTTACGTCAAGCCACGTCTACAGTAGGCCGAGCCCCATCTGCGTCTACGTTGAGCCGAGCCTCGTCACTTGTCTGTTTGAATTGAGTCACATTCACGTCCACGATGAGCCGTGCCACGTCCACATCAGGCCGAGCCCCGTTCATGTCTGGCCATCCCATGTTCCCCGTCACGCCAAGCTCCATCCACATCAGGCCAAGCCCAGCCATAGGGTTGCCGCCGCCCCCCATTCCTGTTCCCCGACGAGGCAAAGGTCGCTGTTGCTTTTGTTCCTGTTCCCCGGCGAGGCAAGGGTTGCCGTTGCTTTTGTTCCTGTTCCCCGTCGAGGCAAGGGTTGCCATCACTTTTGTTCCCGTTCCCCAGCGAAGCAAGATCATGGGTGACTTTGGTCCCTTGAGGGAAGGCCACTGTCATGGTTCTGCTTGTGACCAACAGGCGGCACTGTAGGGCTTCGCCTGCAGCTGCACACCTGTTGGTCATTGTGTCATTAGTTTGTTTGTTTGTTCCTGTCATGTTTGTTCTGTCATGTTTGTTTCGGTCATGTTTCTGTTGTTGTTAGTTGTTAGCTTCAGCCATGGTGTTTGTTTGCTACTTTGGATTCGTTTTGTTTTCTGGACTTTTTTGTGTTCTGGAATTTGTTTCCTTAATACTGTATTTTAATACAACTTGTCAACTTCATCCTGCTCCTCCCTCTTGCCTGCTTTTTGGGGTCCTCCACCACCATGACACATATGCAGCCATTCAAGCAATGTATTTTTCATGGATGCCCCTTGCTTATTTCAGGAAGATAAAGTCAACCCACCTTCTGAGTGTGTTACAACAACAAAGTGGCTTTGTAGTAAAAGAGTGTGGGTACAAGACTGGCATGCCTCTAGTCCAGATCTGTCTCCCAATGAAAATGTAGGGAGCATTAGGAAGCGTAAAATACGACAACACAGACCCCAAGACTATTGAACAGCTGAACCTGAACATCAAGCAACAGTGGGAAAGAATTCCACCGACAAAGCTTCAACAATTAGTGTCCTCAGTTCCCAAAAGTTTATTGAACATTGTTAAAAGCAAAGGTGATGACCCTGTTTTTTGGAACATGTTGCATCCATAACATTGTAAATTAATGATTTGCTAAAATCAATAATGTGTATTCAGTTTGAACATTAAATATATTGTCTTTGTGGTGTATTCAGTTCGATATAGGTTGGACATGATTTGCGAATCATTGTATTCTGGTTTTACTCATGTTAGCCACAATGACCCAACTTCATTGGAATCGGGTTTGAATATACAATACTACCTCCCCTTCATTCTTGTTTTCTCTATTCCTCCAAACCATTTCATATCCATCCATGCCTTTTTCATTGTTAATCCAGGTTTTTGATACTGCACAAATGTTGAAGAGTTCTGTGAACTGGCTCGGGTAAGATTTAATATTATGGAAATTAGCATTTAGACTTCGGCTTTTTAAGTAGATAATTGATATTTTCTGTACAGTCAATTGTGTTATGCTGTTCATCTGTGTAATTCCTGCAGGTATTGTTGAAGGAATGAAAAAAAATTAGGGTCAATGTCATTTTTACTGATGCACGATATCCTGCTTTGTATGGCCGATACCGATTTCGATAACCAATTTGTATTCTTTTTTTGGATACTACAAAGATGTCTGTTATTGCTGCGTAAAAGAATAAAAAAAATTAATCACGCACTTAATGTAGTGGGGTTGGAGAGTGATCAGTGGTCAGCAACAATGAGCACGTGTATATTTTGCTGTTTTCTGAACTCTTGTGACATCAGTTGGTGAGGTGATAAGCAATGTCAAAGGCTCTGATGCGTACTGTTCCTATTAATAAAGTTGGTCGCGTTGTTTTTATCATCCCCACTAGTGTTTTATATATCGTGTAATATATTTTGATAGTTATTTTATCTATTAATTATTATTTCTGTGTATGAGAGTGGGGGCACTCGAGTAGGGGGGTGACATTAGTGAGAGGGGATGAGCCCGGAGGGGAAGATTGGCTCAGACAGGCAGTCTGAGTATGGAGCGTATGGGCGTGAGTTGTACCCACCACCAGCTCTACACGTGTTTTATTCCCGTTTTGTTCATTGAAAAATGCGAACAGATGACATCAGCGACTGTATGCATCCTTGACGACACTGAAGGGCATTACATTTAGCGTCAGGCGTTTGGGGTTCATCCGTCAACGTCTGACTTTAATGTGTGAGGATGTTCGGCGACTCAGGTACTCGGCAGGAGGTAAAGGAAGAGGGCGTTATGTGCCACGATCACAGTACTCAATGCGTCAAAATGAGCATGAGCCTGCCAAAATGGGATTACACAATGACGAAGTGGTAGGTGCCACTGTGGCCAAGATGGATGTAAACATGCATGGTGGCGACCAAGGGCTCGCGTGGCCCGCCATGAAGGTACTTAAGTTCTCCGGGAAGGGAATTTAGGCTTACAGCGCACAGTTTGAGTTGGTGGCTGATGCAGCAGATTGGTCGGAGAAGACGAATCCGTGATGGAGGACGCTATGTCCTGTATGCTGCTGAGCTCCGAAAAGAGATTAGATCACAGCACATTGGTGGGTGCTTTGTAGAGGCACTTTGGGGAGTTTCATTTGAGAGAATCTGCGCTGTGAGTTCAAACAGTGTGATCGACATCCAGATGAGGTGCTCCGTTGCCTCATTTATGACATTGAGAGGCTAGGTCGGTGCGCATATGCCAGAAATGCCAAAGGAGGTCCAAAAATGAACTCATACGCAACCAGGTCATCCAAGCTCTCAGACCGGAAGTGCTGCGACTGCACGTCCAGCTTGCCCACTGGGGAGTCCTGGGAAAAGCACTTCCTCTTGCCATGGAGCGGGAGATTGCAGTCAAGGGGGAGCTCCAGACATCAACCTGCTCCGTTTTGGCAACTTCATTGTCATAAGGGGAGGAGCGCAGAACGACGTACGTGGAGGAGCTGGTGTGCGCGATAAATACCAATCCAGCATGGGGAAGGGAGCGATCAATGTGCATACCCTGCTGTCTGCTGGGGGTGTGGGCAGCCAGGCCATCTGCTGCGGCTCTGTCCAAAGATGTTAAACCAGCAGGGAAACAAAAAAGGGTCAGTGTAGCCCAGACAACTTGGACCCCTCCAGTTGTTAACCGGGAGCTGGCACATGCATGTGGAGGAGCTATGTGCAGCGACCCCCATTGAACTGGTGGGTTGGACAGATGTGGGGGACCACAGTCATATTTGTGTGCCGATTGGGGACGATTCCTACACAACCCTGGTGGACACTGGGTCTTCTGCCACAATTGTGAGGCTTGACATTGTTCCAGTCGCACCCCTCTGAAGATCGACCTTTACAAAGTTGAGGACAGTGACTGGTGAAATAGCCCAGATGAGAGGCTGAGGGACATTTCCTTTTGTCCTGGCAAAGACCCACTCAGCAAGGGTCGTTGACATGAGTGACCCCTGTATTCTAGGGCATGACTTTTTGAAAGCTGTAAGGTGTGTGGTGAACTTGGGAGCTGAGGTTCTCACCATGCCGAGTGGTCAGAATGTGGGCCTGGGCCAACGAGTGGATGGTGAGGGCATCACCAGTCTGGAAGAGAAGGTCAGCATCATCAAAGACTGGCCAGTCCAAGAAACCAGGAGCAGCTTAAGAGCTTTTGGAGCAAGCCTCATACTACAGATGGTTTGTGAAGGGATTTTCTTGCATCAGGGCATCCTTGTTCCACCTCTTCAACCCAACCAACCCTTCATGTGGATGCTGGATTGTCAGGAGGCGTTTTCCAGCCTAAAAAAGGCCCTCATAAATGCTCCTGTTCTCACCACGCCAGATCTATCCTTGTGTTTTTTGCTGGACACAGTTGCTAGCTATGCTATATACTCCATAGTGACACGGACACATAACCTGATAAACCACTGTATATTTAAAAAGATATGAAAAGGCACAGAGAAACCATATGAGGAAAAGAGCACCCAATCTGCCTATCCACACAAATATGACAGTCACCACACCTCCCAGCGTGGAAGCCCCCCCATCACGGGGGAAAAAAATCATTAAAAGAATTAAAATATGTACATTTATATCGATACATCATTTAAAAGCCAAAATAAAAAGATGTGCCTAAAGTCTCCACTAAAAGACATCAACAGTCTCTGCAGACGTGATGTCCTCTGGCAGGCTATTCCATAGTTGGGGACCAAAATGAGTAAATGCAGCCTCACCATGTGTCCTGGTTCTCACTGCAAAAATAATTAAAAGGTCAGAGGACCTCAGGATCTGCGAGGGTTGACATGATAAAAGCAAGTTGACTAAATGAGCTGATCCAAGACTGTTAAGACATTTAAAAACGAATAAAATCACCTTAAATCAATCCTGAAACACACAGGGAGCCAACATAGTGATTTACACATTTTGGGGGTAATGTGTTCCCACCCTCTGCTATCCATGACTTAATATCTAAAATATAATTTAAAAGGGTATGAGGTATAGGCCCTGTGTTCTCAGGAGACATGACAATTCATTGCGGTAATGCTGTTCCATGGGGCTGTGCAAAAATGCAAAGAGCCACTGTAGATTTGAGTTACTGTTTAGGGAGTTAATTAATGGGAAGAGGGGAGAAGCTGTTTGAATGTCTACTGGTGGGCAGAGTGTGTGTGTGTGTGTGTGTGTGGGGGGGGGGTGCGTCCATTAGGATTTTACGTGTCTTGGTTCTTGTGGTGTGCAAGTCCTAAAGAGTGGGAAGTGTGGTGTCGGTTATTTTTTTCACAGTTCTAACTCTCCGTTGCAGTCAAATGTTGTCCTTTTGTGGCGGGCCCAAACCAAACTGTGATGTGCTCCATCACAGCATTGATTCGATGACTGCTGTATAGAACTGTCTCAGCAGCTCCTGTGGCAGGCCGTGCTTCCTCAGCAGTACATGCTCTCCTGGGCTTTTTTTCAGGATGGAGTTAATGTTGGCCTCCCACTTCATGTCCTGAGAGACTGTAATTTCCAGGAACTTGAAGGTCTCGACTGTTGACACAGGGCAGTTGGATAATGTGAGGGGCAGCTGTGGTGAAGGATGTTTTCTGAAGTCCATAATCATCTATCCAATCTTGAGCGCGTTCAGCTCCAGGTTGAGTTGCACCTGAGCATCAGCTGCTCCACTTCTTGTCAGCACGCAGACTCGTCGCAGTCTTTGATGAGGCCGATGACTGTGTGTTGTCTGCGAACTTTTTGATTTTGATGGCTGGCTGTGTTGAAGTGCAGTTGTTTGTGTGGAGGGAGAAGGGCAGCGGAGAGAGGATGCTTCCTTGGGGGGGACCCAGTGTTGATAGTGTATGTTGATGATGTTGTCCTTCCCAGCCTAACCTGTTGTGTCCTTCTCGTCAGGAACCTGATAATCCACTGGCACATCGTAGGGGACACACTGAGCTGGAGAAGCTTGGAGGCGAGGAGTTATGGATGATGGTGTCGAACGCAGAGCTGATGTCCACAAGCAGGATCCTTGCGTCGGTCCATGTG